CTCCCATAAACATGCAGCTTTAGGTCTCCAACCTTTCCATCCACTGGCTTCTGGACGCATCCGTGGTCCTCCAGAACCAGGTGGAGGCTATAGTCCCAACCTGTTAAGCCATCCAGCTCGACCTGCATTAACCCGACCCAGTTACAGACAGCCCTGCGCTCTCTAGTCCTCTCTGATATCTGCCCATGCTTTCACATAGAGGGCTTGCTAGCCTCCTTGTGATAGTAATAGTTAAATGAGGGGAAAAAGTAAAATTGAGAAAAATCTAATGAAAAAGATAATGTGCATACATACAAGTGCAAACCTATGTAGGTCTTGCAAGTAATTGTAAACAGTGATTACGTCCCTTGTGCTGTGAATGTCAGAGTGGGCAATAATTCTAAGGCTATAATTCATGGTTCTCTCTAAACTGATAACCTGTAAAAGCTTTTAAAGTGTCATCTATGGAACATTTTTGGTACTGTAGTTCATGGATGCAACAGTTTTGAGTCTTGACTTGTTTGGCATCTACTCGGTGCAGATGCATATTTTACCAAAAAAATGTGATATTTGATTTTTGTCATGTTTCTTGTGCATAACTGTTAGTGTATTTTGTCCTGGGCAACATAAAGATGTAATTACATAGTTAGGCTGAAAAAAGACAAGTCCATCCAGTTCAACCATTAAAAAAAAAAAAATGTTATCCTATACCAACAGTTGATCCAGAGGAACACAAAAAAAAAACCCAGCAAAGCATGATCCAATTTGCTCCTGCAGGTAAAAAAAATGCCTTTGTGATCCCCCGAGAGGCAATCGGATATTCCCTGGATCAACTTTACCTATAAATGTTAGTATCCAGTTATATTCTATCTATCCAAGAAAAAATCCAGGCCTTTTTAAAGCAATCCACTGAGCTGGCCAGAACCAACTCTTGAGGGGAGTCTATTCCACATTTTCAGAGCTGTGAAGAAACCTTTCTGTGTTTGGAGATTACATTTCTTTTCCTCCAGACATAGAGTGCCCCCTTGTCCTCTGTGATGACCTCAGGGTGAATAGCTCTACACCGAGTTCACTATATGAACCACTGATGTATTTATACATGTTGATCATATCCCCCTTAATCCCCTCTTCTCGAGAGAATGAATTCTGTTCCTCTAATCTTTCCTCATAGCTGAGCTCCTCCATGCCTCTTAATTTGGTTGTCCTCTGTACTTTCTCCAGTTCCCCAATGTTCTTTTTGTGAATTGGTGCCCAAAACTGAACTGCATGTTCCAGATAAGGTCTTACCAATGATTTGTACAGGGGTAATATGATATCTCTCTCTGGAGTCTATACCTCTTTTAACCGCTTCCATACAGGGCACTTTTACCCCCTTCCTGCCCAGGCCAATTTTCAGGTTTCAATGCTGTCACACTTTGAATGACAATTGCGCAGTCATGTACTGTACTCAACACTGTACTCAAACTAAAATTTTATCATTTTCTTCACACAACTAGAGCTTTCTTTTGTTGGTATTTAATCACCTCTGGGGTGTTTTTTTTTTTTTTTTTTTGTTTTGTTTTTTTTGTTTTTTGTTTTGCTAAATTAACAAAAAATAAAATAAAAATACATTTTTCTTTGTTTCTGTTAAAAATGTTTGCAAATGAATATTTGTTCTTCATACATTTAGGCCAAGATGTATTCTGCTACATTTCTTTGGTGAAAATAACCCAAATCAGTATTATTTAGTCTGTAGGAAAGTTATAGAGCTCAAAAACTATGGGATATATCTGAAAATTGATCGTTCCTGAAGTCTAGCTATCCTTTGTCGTATCCGACCCTTGGCGATTGCATGGACCGTCACTCGAAAGCGACTTTTTCCATGAATTCTTTTAGCAATATTTTACAGGGTAGGTTGCCAGGTCTTTCTCCAACTCCTACCATGCTGGAAAACCTGCGTGGCCAGGGATGAAACTAGGACAATTTAGACAGGAGCCAATTCACCTACCAGCATGTTTTTGGAGTGTGGGAGGAAACCAGAGTACCTGGAGGAAACCCACGCGAACACTGGAAGAACATGCATACTCCATGCAGGAGGCGCCATGGTTGGGAATTGAACCCATGACCCAATTGCTGCAAGGCAGAAGTGCTAAACACTAAGCCACTGTGCTGCCCTCATTCCTGAAGTATTGACAGCCAATCTATTTTCTTGAGGTCCGAGAATGTCAGAACAGTACAGATATCCCCCAAATGACCCCTTTTTGTAAAGTGGACAGTCCAAAAAACTCGCCATGCCTGTTATGAAATACGTTGAAGTTGTAATTTTTTTGTCATTTTTCAGAAAAAGCAGAAATGAAAAATGATTTTCACTTTTTTTTTTTTTTTTTACATACTGTCACCTGTGCAGTACAGCGTCGTCCTATAACTGGCATGGCGGTGATCAGGGACACTGACTGGTGACAGTACAAAAAAAATTGATTATTTTTTTTTATTTTTAATTTTTCTCTTAAGATTTTTTTTTTCATATTACACTATGACCAAAGTAGTACAATGTTACCATAGTAACATTGTACTACTTTGGGGAAGTGATCAGTGTGTATATATATATATTTTTTTTTTACACAATTTGCTTATAGCAAAGAATTACTTTGCTATAAGCAAGCATTTACCTGAATTAAATCAATTCATTCAGGGTTTTTTTTTTTTTGTGATTAGCTGTGATTTGGCCACGGCTAATCACATGACACAGCTGGGCTGTGATTGGCCCAGCTTGTGCATGTGATTGCTGTGACCATTCACAGTTAGACACACTTGTATATAATGGATGGCATGAAAGGAAGCCATTCATTGTATATAACTGTCCTGTGACCTGCTGTGATTGGTAACAGCAGGTCACATGGTACTGGCAATGGGGTCGGTACATAGATCTGTCATCGGCCGTTTCCGAGGTACGCGGCCGGGGACAGATCTCGCCACAGCGAGGCCCTGCAGGCATGCGCAATGTGCGTTCCGGAAGGGATGCCATATGGCGGGTGTCGGCAACCCGCGGCTCTTTTTCACCTTTCCTGCGGCTCCGGAGCACACTGCCCACCAGGTGACAGGCAATAGGGTCGGCAAGCCGCGGCTCTTTTAATGCAGATCTTCTGTGTGCCGGGCGCCCGCTGGCAAACATTGGCTGTCAGGTTGTAGGCGGGGCAGCCCGGATGTAGGCGGGGCAGCGTGACGAACTCCTCACCTCTCACAGTCCGCCCTGAAGACCAGAACGGCGCGGGAACCCAGCGAGAGGAACGCGCGGAGCAAAGGTAAGTGAATTCACACAATATGGGGAATGAATTACTATAGGGGGGATGAATTACTATAGGGGGGATGAATTACTATAGGGGGGATGAATTACTATAGGGGGGATGAATTACTATAGGGGGGATGAATTACTACGGGGGATGAATTACTACGGGGGATGAATTACTATATGGGGGATGAATTACTATGGGGGATGAATTACTATGGGGGATGAATTACTATGAGGGATGAATTACTATGAGGGATGAATTACTATGGGGGATGAATTACTATATGGGGGATGAATTACTAATGGGGGATGAATTACTATATGGGGGATGAATTACCATGGGGGATGAATTACCATGGGGGATGAATTACTATATGGGGGATGAATTACTATATGGGGGATGAATTACCATGGGGGATGAATTACCATGGGGGATGAATTACTATATGGGGGATGAATTACTATGGGGGATGAATTACTATGGGGGATGAATTACTATAGGGGGGATGAATTACTATAGGGGGGATGAATTACTATAGGGGGGATGAATTACTATAGGGGGGATGAATTACTATATGGGGGATGAATTACTATATGGGGGATGTATTTTCAGTTTTAAAAATGTTTCTCTCAAAATAAATTTCAATCGTGGTTTTGGCGAGATTTGGCTCAGTCGAAAAAAAAGGTTGCCCACCACTGACCTAAGGCTATGATTGTGATTATGACGATACACTGTGGCCCTGATTAACCCTTTGCTTACTGGGCCCTTAAACCCCCTTCATGACCAGAGCGTTTTTTGCAATATATGCAGTGTCGGATTTGTTTTAAATGTTGCAATGGTTTTGCGGCTCCCAGTCTTTTTTTCCCTCTCGGAAACGGGTCCAAGTGGCTCTTTATGTCTTAAAGGTTGCAGACCCCTGCCATATGGCGTCCACCCGGAGGGACGAGCTGTTTACCCAGCCGCCATTGGACTATAGGCTGGGCGGCAACTAGTTAATACAAGAGAAGATTTTGCTCACTGTAGAAACCGCAGCTTGGCATTGCATGCCATTATTAAGCTGGTGCTCTACCAGAACTCCCAGATCCTTCTCCACCATTGATTCCCCCAGTTGTACTCCCTCTAGTATGTATGATGCATGCATATTCTTAGCCCCCAAGTGCATAACCTTACATTTATCAACATTTAACCTCATTTGCCACATAGTTGCCCAATTAAACAGTGCATTGAGGTCGGCTTGTAAATTGGAGACATCCTGTAAGACATCCTGCACGGTTTGGTGTTGTCTACAAAGACTGAAATGGGATTTTTTAATCCCAGATTAATGTGATGACCACTTCTTTTATTCTGCAGGTTTCTTTTTTCTGAAAATGCATAATGTTTGGGGTTCTAAATCTCATTACTAAGTAATTTCTAGCAAAAGATAGCAGATTTTAACATGCGTGTGAAAAATTTTAAAATTGCCCTGGATGCAAAGTGGTTAAACATTGAGTTTGAATAGTCAATATATTTAAAAATTTGAGCTAAAGGCTCATGTCTTACAGGTTTAGCAGGCAAATATTTTACAGAATATAACAGATCAAAAAAATTTAATGTCATGTTTATTTGTAGAACCTGTTTTATTTAAACATAACTTTGACTGCAAAACATTCCTTGATTTAAAAAATGCAGCGCTTTGATGTAATTGTATCTGCTGGCATTTGATTTTTTTTTTTTTTCAGTACTCCTAATATTTTCAAACATTTTTTTTTTTAGGCTGTGAATGAGTCGTGTTATCATAATGATGATTCTGTTCTGAAGTCCCTTGTGGAAATTGCTGATACAGTTCCCAAATATTTGAGACCCCACCTGGAAGCGACTTTGCAGCTGAGCTTGAAGGTAGTAATATATCTATGCAATTTTATTACTTAAAAATACATGAGAACATTATGTAATGCTATATATATATATATTTTTTTTTTTTTTTTCAGCTTTGTGCTGACACAAACTTAAGCAACATGCAAAGACAGCTTGCACTTGAGGTTATTGTCACCCTCTCAGAGACGGCTGCTGCCATGTTGAGGAAGCATACAAGTATTGTTGCTCAAGCAAGTAAGTTGATCTTAAATGTTGTCTGTGTTTTAAGCTTTGCTTATGGAATTGTTTTTATGTGCTTTTGTCTAGTCTTGGTGTTTCGTTAATGAAAAATTTTGCTTTTAGTACCCCAAATGTTAGCAATGATGGTAGACTTAGAAGAAGATGAAGAATGGTCAAATGCTGATGAGTTGGAGGATGATGATTTTGACAGGTATTTACCTATATAGCATGCAAATTGTACTTTTAGTTCCAAAACTTTGGTGTTTGAGAGAGAGAGATGTGTTTATATTCCCAAATGTAGAATGTCTTGTGTGGAACAATACAAAGGTTTGACAGTATACAAAAAAAACTAAACTGTTCAACATCTCATGTTAAAAACTGGCTTATATTTTATACATTTACAAATGTCAGGGACATCTTAACTGTGTGACATATAGCAGTGAATAAAGTTTAACCACTTTAGCTCCAGGATATTTTACCTGCTTCATGACCAGACCATTTTTTGCTCTTCAGCATTGCGCTACTTTAACTGGTAATTGCACAGTAATGCAACGCTGTACCCAAACAAAATTTCATATCATTTTTCACACAAGTAGATCTTTCTTTTGGTGGTATTTGATCACCACTGGGTATTCTATTTTTTGCAATATAAACGTAATAAGACCAAAAATGTAACAAATTTTTTACTTTGTCACAAAACCTATCCAATTAAAAACAAATTTCATACATTGTGGACAAAATGTATTCTGCTTCATGTCTGATTTAAAAAAAAAAAAAAAAAAACCCAGTTAGTGTAAATTAGTTTACGTGAAAGTTATACTGCCTACAAACTATGGTGTATATACTGGACATTTTTTAACTACTAATGGGGGTGATCAGTGACTTATACTGGGACTGTGATAATGCGGCGAGCAATTGGACATTGACGCTGGGGGAACTGCCACTTACATCACCAGTGAAATCATTTCAGCCGTGGAAGGTTTCCCCTCTTCATGACTAGGCCATTTTTTGCTATTAGAAACTGTTGTTTTAATTGCCTGGCCATGCAGCGCTGTACCCAAATTAAATTTAGGTCCTTTTTTTTTTTTTTTCACACACAAAATAGAGCTTTCTTTTGGTGGTATTTGATCACCAATGGGTTTTTAATTATTTAGGACATAAATGAAAAGACTACATTTTTTACTTAAAATCCAATAAACTCAAATCTCGTCACAAAATTTAGGCCAAAATATATTCTGCTACATGTCTTTTTTGGTTAAAAAAAAAAAATCCCAATGTGTATATTCGTTAACCCCTTGACGCCGACTGTAAGAAAATATGCGGCCTCTCGGCGGCTGGGCCTTGACTCTGAGCGACCGCATATTTGCGTACCATTTGAAAACACATATGTGCTGAGTGCGTGCCCTGCACCAGGTATCCTCCTGGTTTAGCCACTCAAAGTCCAGTGATGTACCAGTTCGTTGCTGGTCCTTGTTGGACATTTATGTAACGGCAGAAAACTTGGGCATATGATGTCTGTGAACCAATATGACAGCATGTCATTATTTTTTGTAATGCCCATGTCAAGGGTTAGACCCACAAGATTTAAATTGGTAAACCATGATAGGTTTCCATGCAAATTCCCTGGCAAGAGCTGAATTTGGGTGGGTGGTGCTGTATTGTGCATATAAATTGCTTTGGCCCACAATCATTGATACAAATCTTCCTTGAAAAACAGCTTGCTAAACACTAGTGTAGGTAGCAAACGAGGCTGATTCTGCTAACACTGCGTTTTTGGGGACACACTATGCTAAGGAGGCAATAGTATATTTTTGTTTGTCATCAATATATTGATCCGTGCAAACACTATAGTAATGGCAGTGATTAGTGACCTATAGCGTAAGAGCAATTAGCGTGCGGGCAATGTAACACTAGCTTGCCCTGCCTGACAGGGTAGCTTACAGACCCTGACGCTATCTGATGTTGCTAGCGGCAGTAATAAAGTGATCAGTGAAACATTCTATATACTGACACTGTACTAATGGCACTGGTTGGGTGACGGTGATCAAAGGGTTAATAGGGGCAATCTAAGTGTTAAATGTGCTAATCTAATGTATGTAATGTGTAGAATGTAGTGCTTTTACTTAGTGTAGTCTCTTCTCTTCCTGGGGGGGGGGGGTGCGTGTGCTCATGCCCGAAAATAGAAAGCGACGCAAGGGTACATCGCTTTGCCCAGAGGCGCCGCTTGCCCACGCCTCACAGGTGGGTGGTTGGCAAGTAGTTAGAAAAAAAGAAAAAACCCTTTCGTAAAAGTAGTTCAGTGTTACCATAGTAACATTGTACTACTCTGGGGGGTTATTGGGGAATTTTTTTTTTTTTTTTTTTTGCTTTGCAGGAGCAATAAAGATAATTGCTCTCACAATGTTTGCTTTGAACTGTCATGAATGGGTTAAGTTCATGACGTTCAAAATACTAGTGATCTGTGGTTGGCTACAGATGATCACATGGTACAGGGTGCAGTGATTGGCCCATGTGAGAGCTGTGGGACAATGACAGCTCACTAGGAAGGGAAGCGCAGCGGTTTATGAATCAGATTGATTCATAACAGCTTTGCTGACATCGTGATCATGCGATCACATGACCATCGGATCCCCTATGGAAAGTGATTATATGTGATTATATGGTGATCAGTGATAATACTATACACGGTCACTGTACTAATGACACTGGCAGGGAAGCATTTAGTATCTAGGGCAATCAAAGGGTTAAATATGTGCCTAACTATGTGTAATGGTGGCAAAATTCTGTTTTGCTCTGTATATTTCCTTGCCCATATGCACTGTTCCCCTTTTTGCTATTTTTAAATGTTTCCTTTTTTGTTTTATATTGTATGTAAAATGTATTTTAATATGCATATATGGCTTTTTTGCTCTTTTTTGAATTAAACAATTTTAATTTTTTTTATTTGGCTTCTAGCAATGCTGTGGCTGGTGAAAGTGCCTTGGACAGAATGGCTTGTGGTTTGGGTGGAAAGATTGTCCTCCCCATGATTAAGGAACATATCATGCAAATGCTACAAAACGGTGAGTTATTTCATAATTTGTGCTAAATATGGTATATATTTAGTAAACTGTATGTTACTAAATGTTAATTCTGATTAGACAAGCTAATTCTGTTTCTGATTACTTTGTTTTCAGCCTTTTGTAAGCCATTGAAGCGGGGGTCATTAGGAGAATGTTGTGAATGGTCTTTGTGGAAAATGGGATATTTAAAAGTTGGTGTAGCCACATTCTTTAATTGTACAATTTCCTGTATCCCTTTTACTGCAACCGACATGTCACATGTCAGGGGGGAGGGGGATCGGCTTGGTTAGTTTGCATGTTTGCTACAGGAAATGGGGTGCATGTATACATTTAACAAGCTGTCTGCTTTAAAATGGATCCTTTCTATGGATCTCCATTATATTGTCCATTGGTTTCTATTTGACCAAGTCATTCCACCGAAGAAAGAACAAAGTCAAGAAGTTCAAGCTTTAATATTAATGATTGTTCCAGATTTCGGTGTCTTGATTTTTACTGAATCCAGAAACTGTTGAATAACTTTTTTTTTTTTCAGTAGAGGCAGTTCAGGTATCTGAGATGGTAGTAATGAGCCCATGCCCTATACCTTGCTCTTTTTTTTAGGTTTTAAGGTTTTGTTCGGGTGGTTTTCCTTCCTCCAAGCCAATTGGATCATGGGTTCCTCTCCTCTTCGTATTTAATGCTTTTTTCACAACTATTTTAGTTTTTGTATAACTCATCGTATGTAGTGATAATTAAGCTCCCTTCCATTTGTAACACACTAAGCTGGAGAGCATTGGTTTCTATTTACATAAATGTGTGGAACAGTGGCTTACTATTTCAAACTATTTTTCTACAGCTAACTGGAAGTACAGGCATGCTGGTCTTATGGCATTATCAGCCATTGGAGAGGGTTGTCACCAGCAAATGGAGAGCATCCTTAATGAGATGGTCAACTTTGTGTTACTTTTTCTTCAAGACCCTGTAAGTATTATATTTTGTCTAGTTAATACAGTGGCAGTTTGTGTCTGGTACAGTTTCATTAGATGGATGTGTTTATCCAGAGCTTGACAAATTTGCTTTGAATCTAGGAGCCAGCTGAAAGTTAGGAGCCATATAATTTTTTTTGTTTTTTTTTTAGAATAGCGCTTGTTGTCCGTGCCCGGGGCAAAGCAACTTTTGGGCGATAAGCTTCACAGATTTGCATAACAGATGTGTTCCTATTGAGGTGGTTCACACACATGCGATCCACATGCATTGTGCCATTAAGAAAAGGGTCTTGTGCGAGTTTGTAGCTGTGCATTCCAGACTCGCAGTTGATAGAGTAGTGGCATGTGGATATAAGTGTTTACATAGGATTGCTATTGACATAGGATTGTTTTTACCTTGAAGTGTATAGGAGGCAACTTTGCATTGAAGTGTATGGGAGGCAGTGTGTGAACCCAGGCACGAGGACTCAATTTCTAGTCGACCTGGTGCCTGGGATTTGTCAAACCTATGTTTTAGCAAGCATCTTAATAATTTTACCGGGTATCAAGGTTATGTAGAAAATCAGAATTTTTTTTTTTTTTTTTTTCAGCATCCAAGAGTGCGGTATGCTGCATGTAATGCTATTGGGCAGATGGCTACAGACTTTGCACCCGCCTTTCAGAAGAAGTTTCATGAAAAGGTACGAGCAAACCTATGTCTACTGTCGTGTGCATACATTCTGCAAATATGTTAGCTTGATGGCTAAGTAAATTCTGTGCTTTTCTTTCTATGATAATTGTAGTTAGGCTGTGCACAGTAATATCAATTAAAAAGGTGAGACAAACCTCAGCATGTTAGGCTTTCATCTAACCAATGATTGCACAACAGTAATCATCAGAAGTATTTGGAAGTGTAAGTTCACCTTTTCAGAAAAAGTGAACTAGCATCCTCACCTAACACCACCAAACCATGGCCCCCACTGCATTTACCACTGTGGATGGTTAGCTTTTTCGCTGGCCATGCATTTGCTGCAGCGTTTCAGGTATTTGAAAGCCATGGTCCTCTCTGTTGGATCAGAAATATTGGTCACATGCTGGCACATGACCTTTGACCAAATAAATTGCTCTGATCTGTCCTAGTATCCCTAAGGAAGAAAAAGAAGCCATGGCTTTCAAATACCAAGACCCTGCACAGGCTTTGCAGTCAGTGAAAGCTAATCATCAATGGAGGTAAGTGTGGTGAGGAGCATGTAGGGTGCTCACCTTTTTTTGGAGAGGGAAAGGTGAACTTGCACTAAGATGAACAGTCATACACATTCATAAAAGTCAATTTTGCCATGTATCCAGTTACAATTAATTTACTGCTCAAGCTGTTTTTCTTTCTAAAGGTGATTGCAAGCCTGCTTCAGACTATGGAAGACCAAGCCAATCCACGTGTCCAAGCCCATGCAGCTGCTGCCCTTATCAACTTTACTGAAGATTGTCCAAAGTCATTACTTGTTCCTTACCTAGATAATCTGGTTAAACACTTGCATTCCATTATGGTCGTCAAATTGCAGGAGGTATGGTTTGCCTGTTGATAAGTTGGTTGTATATTTCTAACACAGGTTTATATTGAAAGCCAAATCAAACTGTGGTGCCTGATGCTTCTGGCATAATCTGCAAGTATGCCCCCCTCCAGCAATACTCTGATGGTGTTATCTTTCCTAGTTTTCCATGTTTTGACATCTTCAGCTATATTGATTGGCAGGGTTATGATCTAACTCCATTGCATGTGTACAGGTGTTAATCTATCCTGGTACCAAAGGCATGCTGAGAGTGGTACTCTCAGCTGTGCATTTGTGATTCAGGGAAAATTCAAGAGACATATTGCTGGTGGGCAGAAAAGCAAATTTTAACATAAACTAAAGAAAGTACCTTATTTTTTGCTCCGTAAGATGCACCTAGGTTTTAGAGGAGGAAAACAAGAAAAAAAAAATATTCTGAACCAATGGACTGCAGACACAGTACAGGAGATGACCAGAGACTGCAGACCTTTGGGGAGCGGAAGCGGGGGGAGCAGGTACCCAAATTTGACAGGTACCTGCTCCCACTTCTTTGGAGTTGTCCTCCCCCCTGTCTTCTGGGACACGGGACAGGTCCCAGAAGTCTGCCGGACCATTCAAAAAGTGCAGCGCTTCTTGCTCATGCGCAGTGGGCACCCGGCTGTGAAGCTGCAAGCTGTCACACCCTGGGTTCCCACACTAAAAATGCCGGCGCCAGAGAGAAGACGATTAGGAAACCGCTGTACCGAGGAACAGGTAGGACCGAGGAGCAGGTTCTGCTGCACAGAAGAGCCAAGCGGCCGGCCCAGTATTCTATCGCGGTGGGAATACCAGGCCGGCCATTCCATATTCACTTCATAAGATGCATAGACATTTTCCCCCAATTTGGGTGGTAAAAAATGCGTCTTATGGAGTGAAAAATATGGTAGGTTCCCGAATAACCTTCATGGGATCTCCTTTAGAAGATTAGAAACTGGTAAGTAAATCTGTAGAGCAACCCAGTATAACCCCTTCCAATCCCATCATGCTCCAGTTTTTTTGCTAGTGTCCTAAGAGAATGGACCTTCTCTTTTCTGGGTGAAGTAAATCATTTCTTTTGACATCTTTTATTTATTTTCTGTATTTGCCCTCTATTCAAGACCTTTAAAAAAAAAATTTTGCTAGACTTTCTCAAGTTATTTAACAGACCATGAAAATATTGTTGCCTAAATAGAATACATTAAATGTTTCATTGTATTCATAATTTTTTTTGTTTCAGCTAATTCAAAAGGGAACAAAGCTGGTTTTGGAACAAGTTGTGACTTCAATAGCCTCTGTGGCTGACACTGCAGAAGAAAAGTTTGTCCCCTATTATGATTTGTTTATGCCGTCCTTGAAACACATTGTGGAAAATGCAGTTCAGAAAGAGCTTCGGCTTCTTAGGGGGAAGACTATTGAGTGCATCAGTCTTATTGGGCTGGCTGTAGGTAAAGAAAAGGTGGGTGTTCTATGTTGTGGTGTTTGTTTGTTTTGTTTTTTGTTTTTTTTGTTTCAAAACTACAACTCTAGCTGATAGATGTTGTTCATGGCACCTTAAACCCAAGAAGATGATCTTTTGGTGTTAAGTACATCCTGCTTCATTTTGTTAGCACAGACATGTGCAAGTGTTCTTCAATGTACCTCTTATTCTTTTAGTTTATGCAAGATGCATCGGATGTAATGCAGCTTCTGCTAAAAACTCAGACTGACTTCAGCGAATTGGAAGATGATGATCCTCAGGTGTGTTCACAAAATATAAATACAAATCTCATTTCATTATGTTTGGCAACACGTAATCCTTGTGTGCTTATTCACACAGGCTTATTGTAAAATGTATTTAAATTTGAGTCTGTGGGATGTGCTTTACTTATAACTTTGTCTTTCAAGATTTCATACATGATCTCTGCTTGGGCACGCATGTGTAAGATTCTTGGGAAGGAGTTTCAGCAATACCTCCCTGTGGTCATGGGTCCTCTTATGAAAACTGCATCAATTAAACCAGAGGTTGCTCTCCTTGACAGTGAGTTGCATTTACTTAGGATTCTGTTAGCCTCTTTAATCATTGGGTGCTTTGTAGAGGAGTATTTTGACTTTTAAAAAGCTGGGCATACAGTGGGGCAAAAAAGTATTTAGTCAGCCACCAATTGTGCAAGTTCTCCCACTTAAAAAGATGAGAGAGGCCTATAATTGGCATCATAGGTAGACCTCAACTATGAGAGACAAAATGAGAAAAAAAAAATCCAGACAATCACATTGGCTGATTTTGGAAGAATTTACTTGCAAATTATGGTGGAAAATAAGTATTTGGTCACCTACAAACAAGCAAGATTTCTGGCTCACAGACCTGTACCTTCTTCAAGAGGCTCCTCTGTCCTGCACTCATTACCTGTATCAATGGCACCTGTTTGAACTTGTTATCAGTATAAAAGACACCTGTCCACAACCTCAAACAATCACATTCCAAACTCCACTATGGTGAAGACCAAAGAGCTGTCAAAGGACACCAGAAACAAAATTGTAGACCTGCACCAGGATGGGAAGACTGAATCTGCAATAGGCAAGCAGCTTGGTGTGAACAAATCAACTGTGGGAGCAATAATTAGAAAATGGAAGACATACAAGACCACTGATAATCTCCCTCGATCTGGGGCTCCACGCAAGATCTCACCCCTTGGGGTCAAAATGATCACAAGAACGGTGAGCAAAAAAATCCCAGGACCACACGGGGGGACCTAGTGAATGACCTGCAGAGAGCTGGGACCAACGTAACAAAGGCTCCCATCAGTAACACACTATGCCGCCAGGGACTCAGATCCTGCAGTGCCAGACGTGTCCCCCTGCTTAAGCCAGTACATATCCGGGCCCGTCTGAAGTTTGCTAGAGAGCATTTGGATGATCCAGAAGAGGATTGGGAGAATGTCATATGGTCAGATGAAACCAAAATAGAACTGTTTGGTAGAAACACAACTCGTCGTGTTTGGAGGAGAGAGAATGCTGAGTTGCATCCAAAGAACATCATACCTACTGTGAAGCATGGGGGTGGCAACATCATGCTTTGGGGCTGTTTCTCCACAAAGGGACCAGGACGACTGATCCATGTACAGGACAGAATGAATGGGGCCATGTATCGTGAGATTTTGAGGGCAAACCTCCTTCCATCAGCATGGGCATTGAAGATGAATCGTGGCTGGGTCTTCAACATGACAATGCGATCCCAAACATACCGCCCGGGCAACGAAGGAGTGGCTTCGTAAGAAGCATTTCAAGGTCCTGGAGTGGCCTAGCCAGTCTCCAGATCTCAACCCCATAGAAAACCTTTGGAGGGAGTTGAAAGTCCGAGTTGCCCAGCGACAGCCCCAAAACATCACTGCTCTAGAGAAGATCTGCATGGAGGAATGGGCCAACATACCAGCAACAGTGTGTGCCAACCTTGTGAAGACTTACAGGAAATGTTTGACCTCTGTCATTGCCAACAAAGAATATATAACAAAGTATTGAGATGAACTTTTGATATTGACCAAATACTTATTTTCCACCATAATTTGCAATTAAATTCTTTCCAAATCAGCCAATGTGATTGTCTGGATTTTTTTTTTCATTTTGTCTCTCATAGTTGAGGTCTACCTATGATGCCAATTACAGGCCTCTCTCATCTTTTTAAGTGGGAGAACTTGCACAGTTGTTGGCTGACTAAATACTTTTTTTGCCCCACTGTATCTGTTTGTGAAATGCTTTGATATTGAATGTTGCTCTGAGCTCTGTTTCCTTGAAGTGATTGTATAGAGAATGTTTGAACACTAACAAACATTGCATGTACTGCTTGCATTCAGTAATATCTGCTGGTATTTGATTTCCTTTTTCTAGAATGTTTGGTTAGAGCTAAAAATCCAATAGATTATAAATACTTTTAAACACAGAAGTATTCTGGAATGCAGGTTTTGGGATTAATTGAAAAGTACAAGCAGTGGCATAAATAAGTACGATTAGTAGAAAATAAACTGGTCTTAAACCTATGTTCTACATATAGCACTATCCTTTTACAAGTAAAATCCCCACCAAGTCACTATCACAATCCTTCCCCTGAAGTACAAATATCATCAAATAAATCTTACAGTAGACTTGATTTACCCTCTAATAAATATTAGTGTATACAAATAAAATCCAAAACCAACAAAACCAAAAAAAAAAACATCAAAACCCAAAGTCCAAAATAAAATCCCAAAAAAAATATATTATTTCAAGAAAAAATCTTTATCTGTAATATCTTAATTCTTCATATCTTCAAACATCTTTGTGATATACTTCAAACCAAATCTTCATATACCTCAAAGGAAAAAAAAAACTCAACATGTGTATTATCTTCAAAAAGAGGGGTATATAAGACGTGCCACACGTGTTTCATGCACACAAAAAATTGACGTGCCACCACAACCGTGAAGAGAAATCCCTCAGCCTTAGGAATCAATCCACTGCATACCAATAGAGGAAGTGCATAGTTACCCTCAGAATGGTATCAAGGGTCTGAATACTTCTTTCCAACCTTTTAATATTCCTTCAGCCTTTCCAGCCACTTCCCACAGACCTCATAAACAGACCAGGGATCAATATGTATCATAAAAGCTTATAGCACTTTATTGTAGCAACTTACATTCAAATAAGATGACATCAGCTTCCACACCAAGAACGATTTGTTGGTAAAACGATCCCTGTTGACAAAGTCCGGATGTGACGAAACGCGTCCGGGGCACGTGACGTGGTGACGTAGTGACGCTCTTCCGGAAGTGCGCTGACGGCCATTTTTGATCCTGGTACATGCGGTTGTGGCTCCCTGGAATCCTCATGGGGTTTTTGAGGTATTGGGTACCTACCACAGGCGATCTGTTCCCCCTCGGGAGTAGGGATGGTGTGGATACCTACACACTTGTGAGGAGAGGCAGGATTGTGAACAAATCGTTCTTGGTGTGGAAGCGGATGTCATCTTATTTGAATGTAAGTTGCTACAATAAAGTGCTATAAGCTTTTATGATACATATTGATCCCTGGTCTGTTTATGAGGTCTGTGGGAAGTGGCTGGAAAGGCTGAAGGAATATTAAAAGGTTGGAAAGAAGTATTCAGACCCTTGATACCATTCTGAGGGTAACTATGCACTTCCTCTATTGGTATGCAGTGGATTGATTCCTAAGGCTGAGGGATTTCTCTTCACGGTTGTGGTGGCACGTCAATTTTTTGTGTGCATGAAACACGTGTGGCACGTCTTATATACCCCTCTTTTTGAAGATAATACACATGTTGAGTTTTTTTTTCCTTTGAGGTATATGAAGATTTGGTTTGAAGTATATCACAAAGATGTTTGAAGATATGAAGAATTAAGATATTACAGATAAAGATTTTTTTCTTGAAATAATATATTTTTTTGGGATTTTATTTTGGACTTTGGGTTTTGATGTTTTTTTTTTTTTTTTTTTTGGTTTTGTTGGTTTTGGATTTTATTTGTATACACTAATATTTATTAGAGGGTAAATAAAGTCTACTGTAAGATTTATTTGATGGTCTTAAACCTACCCCTATTAACCCATCCTAAAATTCTGCAAATGTATTTTAATAGTGTAGGACCATGTGTAAGGGTCAAATGTAGGTAAAGATGAAATGTAATTTATTGCTTTAACATGTGTATGATTTGTTTTTTTTCCTTTTTCCAACACAGCTCAAGACATGGAAAGCATGGGTGATGATGATGGATGGGAATTTGTCAACTTGGGAGATCAGCAGAGTTTTGGAATTAAAACCGCAGGACTTGAAGAAAAAGCAACTGCATGTCAGATGTTGGTGGGTATTAAGGTTTTTTTAAGTGATAATAAAGGCAGTTGTTTGTTTAAAAAAAAAAAGTCATACTTTCCTGCTCTGTGCAGTGATTTTGCACAGATCAGCCCCGATCCTCCTCGCTGGTCCTCCTTGCCCCTCCCTCCCTGCCCAAGCAGGCTTGCTCCCGAGCCTCTGCTCTCTCTATTCTGACTCTCGCTACACATACCAGCTAATGTAAAAATATGTTTACATTGTTGCTTCTTGTTTTGCATGTGACAAATATACTGTCAAGTAGAACTATAGGCAAAACTTATAGGTTATATGTCGGCTGTCAGATTTTTTTTTTTTTTTTTTTTGGCGTCTGTGTCCCATTAGGGAGATTTACCTGCACTTCCTGTCTCGCAGCCAAACGGGAAGTGAGGAAATCTCTGCAAATTAAGAGAATTCCTTGGTGGCCCCTAGGTCATTGGATGGTTTCCCCTCTATTACTTTTGTGGGGGCAGTCCAAAATTTGGGATTTTCTTTTACTTTCAAATGGTAATGATAAAAAAGAAAAACTGAGAGGATGAATCTCCTTAACGGGAATACAGCAGCAGTAAAAGCTGATAGGTGTTCTAATCCCTCTCCACTCTATCCAAAACTAAAAAAAAATGCCTTTAGGTATACTTTAAAGGTAACGTTTTATAGAACAGTGTGTCTAACACTGCCCATAGACTTAAGAAGGGTGGTCATATGTGCACACATGGTAAAATCCTTCAGCAAACAGAAGAGTGAAGAATAGAGCTCCAATGGCGCTGTAGCTTATGTGCAAGGAAACAGTGCTTTATAATTTATCTGGTCAGTGTTGCCATTTAACCGATTGCAAACCATTTTCATCTCTTCAGGTTTCAAAAGGGGGCAGCGAATGTGTGTTGTAATTAGCTAGGTGCTCTGACATGAATATTTTTAATTTTATAGGTCTAACCGAAGGTGTTTTTTTTTTTTTTTTTCTTTTAGGTTTGTTATGCTAAAGAACTGAAGGAGGGCTTTGTTGAATATACAGAGCAAGTTGTAAAACTGATGGTCCCACTGCTTAAATTTTACTTTCATGATGATATCCTTTTTAAATTCAAATTGCAGTAGCGCCTTTTTTATTCCTACTGCAACTACTGTTTCTTGGCCAATTTAGGATTCTAGAAAAATGTCTATAGAGAAAAGGAGTCGATTGGCCTTCTGTTTAAAACTAGTGGTGCACCGAAATGAAAATATTGGTACTGAAACTGAAAATTGAGGTTTCAGTTGGCCGAAAAGCAAAACGGACCGTTTTTAAAAATGAATGTTTTGAATGAATTGTTTTTTTTTTTTTTTGTAAAAGATGTTATGCCGAATCAATAGGTACCAAACATGTCATACTTTAAAATTGCACATGCTCGTGGAATGGCGTCAATCTACGGTACTTAAAAATCTCCACGGGTGGCAATTTGCAAATGTCTTCAGGTTACCAGTGTAAAGTTTACAGAGGTGGTCTAGTGCTAGAATTATTGCTCTTGCTCTGACGTTCGTGGCGATATCTCACGTGTGGTTTGAACACAGTTTACATATGTGGGCGAGGCCTACATATGTGTTCACCACTATGTGCAAGCACGGGGGGGACGGGGCCACTTTAAACTTTTTTTTTTTTTTTTTTTTTTTTTTACACTGTCCCTTTTAAATAAAAAATGTTTAATCACTTTTATCCGATCACAAGCAATGCATGCATTCCTATCACAAGGAATGCATGCATCCCTTATAGAAATATGTAGTGACAGGTCCTCTTTATGGAGAGATATGTTGTCAATAAGACCCCACATCTCTCCTCTAAAATGTAAAGCATTAGATCAAAAAAAGTATTGATCTAGTGCTTTAGCCACTTGCCCTCTTGAGGATTTACCCCCCTTCCTGACCAGTCCATTTTTTGCATTACGATGCGTTACTTTTTAACTGACAATTGTGCGGTCATGCAATGCTGCACCCAAATGAAATTTCCATCTTTTTTTTTTTTTTTTTTTTTTTTTTTTTTTTTAATGCTATTAAAAAAGCGGACAATTTTGAGAAAAAAAGACAATATTTATGACTTTTTGCTATTAAACTTGTCCAGTAAAAAATTTTTTAACAAATTTCTTCCTAAATTTAGGCCAAATTGTATTCTGCTACGTGTCTTTGCTAAAAAAAAAAAAAAAAAAAATAAGTCCCAATACATGTAAATTGGTTTACGTGAAAGTCATAGCGTTTACAAATGGCGGTATAGATACTGCAATTTTTTTTATTTTTACTAGTAATAGTGGCGATAGCGGGACACTGGTGGGCATATTCTGGCACTGGAGGGAACTGACTTGTCACTGACATCCCCAGTGATGTAGAAAAAAAAAAAAAGCACACTGTACTAATGGCACTGGGCAGGAAGGGGTTAACATGAGGGGTGATCAAAGGGTTAACTGTGTGCTGTTTCACTGTAAGCTCTGTGTTAGTGCATCACTGTAATCACACTGCTTTGGATGGCTGTGTACAGCACAGCCATCCAAAGCAGCGTGCACGAGCTGACGGAGGAGAACTGTATTGTTTACGTACAGTTCTCCGCCCTGTCAGAGATGCTCATCAATCACTGGGCGCTGGTGAGTCATCACCGACTGGGATCTGGTGATTGGTGGTGCAGGTAGGGAGCGATTCTCGCGCGTACCCCCTACCTGGAAATGCAAAATCACACACACATGATTTTGCGCACCCATGCTGCCCTGTAGCAGTATATCTGCTATAGGGCGGTCGGGAAGCTGTTTAAGAAAAAAAAGGCCTTGTTTACAAAGCGCTGAAACGAGAAGTGACGTCGCTCTGGTCCTCTAAGGGCATAAAGATGAGTGGAGGCCATCTTTCCTTCACATATCTATGCCCAGCGCCGGGATCGTTCAGTGGTTTTTCAGGAAAGGGGGTGGGGTCATTTTCGACACCTGTATTGGTGCTTATTTTTATATCTGCCAAAGGCCAATAGGGGTGTTTTTTGGACGAAACGTTTCGGCCACCGAAATTTTGGTGCATCCCTATTTAAAACCTTAAGTACCTCTGTTTAAAAAAAAAAAAAAAAAAAAAAAAATACAATTTGTAATTGTGCAATATTTTTCGAAATGTGTTTTCTCCCTAACTTCATACGCGTCAGAGTTGCTGCTGCAGAGTCCATGCCATTGCTTTTGGAATGCGCCAGGGTGCGTGGTTCTGACTACCTGACACAAATGTGGCACTTCATGTGTGATGCTCTGATCAAAGGGATAGGAACAGAGCCTGATTCAGATGTTCTTTCAGAGATTATGCACTCTTTTGCTAAGGTGAGTCTGCTTTTTTTTTATTTTTCCTTTTTTGTTTTTTTTTTTTTTTCCCTATCCACAAGAATGACAGACTATAGTGAGAAGCCATAGTGCAAAGTTCTTGAATTTTAAATACATGAATGTGCAATTGCAGCAGTTTTATTTATAGGGACAACCCAGAGCTGTTTTACCATTACTTGGCTACATAGTCACTAAACAGAATTAGTGTAAAGGATTTCTGATATAAATAACTTTTCAAGCTGGTGACTTATTAGTAAAGTTTATTTTTAGGACACTGATTTGCTGAGCAGTAAACCATAGATAGGGATTTTTGAATGCTTTGTTTACATACATTTTTGAAGATTCTGTTTTTTTGGGTAGTGCATTGAAGTTATGGGTGATGGATGTTTAAACAATGAACACTTTGAAGAGCTTGGAGGAATCCTCAAAAGCAAATTAGAAGAACACTTTAAAAATCAAGAATTAAGACAAGGTAGGATTCCATGTTGCAGCAAAGTGGTTTGCTTTAAATGTCTTAATAAGCTTTGTTCATACACCTTATGTTTTAATACATATCTTGGTTTGTGCATTGAATGCTATGCATTGCTTTAATGTTTAGTTTGCAGGCAAAGCAAGTGGTTTTGATTGGTGCTACATTACAAAATTAATTTTATTTGCACATTCTCTAGTGCCCATCTGCATGTAAATATGCTTGTTGTACTTGAAGAGGAAAATAAAAAGGATCCCCGAAACCCACCTATCCAGCAGCATATACTTTTCACTCATTCCTGTGCTTCTCCATTTTGGTTTCTGAGCGTAAAGTAAAATACTCAGCATTTATGGATATGAGTGAGCATGTGACTTGCTCTCCATCTGACTCTTGTCTAGTGGAATCACAAGGTGGTGGAGTACAAGGCAAATATATGCTGCTGGGAAAAAGGGTAGCTAAATGACCCTTTTTTTGATTTGCACTGTATAGGTAAAGGAAAGAATCCCTTAAAAGCTGGAAGTGAAAAAGTCCATGGTCATTCGCTTTCTATTTAACCAGTTTCCGGGCACGGGTAAGCTGAATCATGTACAGTTAGGTCCATATATATTTGGACACAGGCACAATTGTAATACTTTTGACTCTGTATGCCACCAGAATAAAATTAAACAATCCAAATGAATTTGAAGTGCAGACTTTGAGCTTTAATTCAAGGGTTTGAACATAAATATCAAGTAAAAATTTTAGAAACTGCAACCATTTTTATACACAGTCCCTCCATTTTCAGGGGCTCAAATGTAATTGGACAAATGAACATAATCATAAATAAAATGTTCATTTTGAATATTTTGTTGAGAATCTTTTACTGGCAATGACTGCCTGAAGTCTGGAACCCATAGATATTACCAAAGACTGGGTTTCCTTTTTTCTGAAGCTTTGTCAGGCTCTAACTGCAGCTGTCTTCAGTTGTTCTTTGTTGGTCTTTCTGCCTTTAGTTTTGCCTTCAGCAAGTGAAATGCATGCTCAATTGGGTTGCGTTTAGGTGACTGACTCAGCAATAGCTAAATATTCCACTTATTTTCCTTCAAAAGCTCCTTGGTTGCTTTTGCAGTGTGTTTTGGATCATTGTCCATCTGTACTGTGAAGCGCCGTCCAATCACCTTTGCTGCATTTGGCTGAATCTGGGCTGACAGTATATCTCTAAACATTGCAGAATTCATCCGGCTGCTTTTGTCTTCTGTCACATCAATAAACGTCAATAACCCATTGCCACTGGAAGCCATGCATGCCCATGCCATCACACTACCTCCACCATGTTTTACAGATGACGTTGTGTGCTTTGGATCATGAGCTGTTCCAAGCCTTCTCAACACTTTTTTGTCTTCTGGTACAGATTAATCTTAGTTTCATCCGTCCAAAGAATGCTTTTCCAGAACTGGTCTTGTTTTTTTTTTATGTTTTTGGCAAAGTCTTATCTGAGTTTTCTATTCTTCAGGCTTTTGAATGGTTTCCACCTTGTGGTGAACCCTCTCTATTTGCTCTCTTGGACTCTTCTCTTGATTGTAGACTTTGACAATGATAGGCCCTCCTGGAGAGTGTCCTTCACTTGTCTGGATGTTGTGTATGAGTTTTTCTTTTACCATAGAGCGGATCCTGCTATCATCCACCATCGTTTTCTTCAATGGATGTCCATGCCTTTTTATGTTGCTGAGCTCACCAGTGCGTTCTTTCATCAGAATGTACCAAACTGTTGATTTGGCCACTCCTAATGTTGCTGCTATCTCTCTGATGGATTTGTTTCATTTTTGAAGCATTACAGTGGCCTGTTTCACTTGCATGGGTAGCTCTTTTGAATGCATGATGTAGGTTCACAGCAGTAGATTTCAAATGAAAATACCACTCATAGAATCAACTCCAGACCTTTTACCTGCTTAATTGATGAAGAAATAATGGAGTAGCCCACACCTGGCCATGAAACCGCTTTTGATTCAATTGTCCAATTACTTTTGGTCCCTTGAAAGAGGGGGAATGGCTATTATTAACCTCTTCACGCCGGCTGCACACAAATGTGCTGTCAGGGCTCCAGGTATGACCAGAGGTGTGTGGACTGACACAGGGAAACGCAGGCTTCAGGTATAGTGTAAACAAGACAATTTATTGAAGACTAAACACAAACGCAGTGCAAGGTAAACATAACACTGTGCAAACAACCCACACCCAACAGATAACCATATATACAATCAAACGTAGTCGGGCAGACTGGGTCGGTAGCAAATGGTACCAGGAGCGAGCGGAAGAGTGGTCAGGAATAGCCGAGGTCAGGACAGGCGGAGTTCGTTCAGAATCAGGATCAAAGCAGAGTCAGGATCAGGCAGGAAGCAGACAGGATGCAGGTACAGGGGCTCATGGGAAACATACACCAAGGCACTGACTGCAGGTCTGGCCATTCCTTAAATACACCACCTGCAATCAGCCTCAGGTGATGGCTGACTGCAGGAGTGAGCTTCTGGTTGCTGAGAGCACCAGCTGGCGAGCCCTGGTACTGCAGCCCACACGGCAGATGAGTCCCACCACTAATGGTGAGTCCATTCCTGACATGTGCGGCCTCCCGGCGTCTGGGCCTGGACGTTGAGCGGCCACACATGTGTGTGCATTTAAGAAAAACATATGCACTGAGAGCACGCGCCCTGCGTGCTCCCAGCACACATGTCTGGTACTCACGGAAAGGTCCCAATTTCCTCTTTCGATCAGGACCTTTCCAGACCATGTGACGGTGAATCACAGCGGTCACATGACCCTAAAACCCTGCCCCACCTCCCAGCTTCTGAAACCCTTAAAGGACCGGGAGGCGCCGGTGCCAAGGGGTTAAGAGCTATAATTCCTAAACCCTTCCTCCAATTTGGATGTACATACCCTCAAATTAAACTTGAGAGTGTGCACCTTCAGCCCATATCCATTATATAACTAAAGCTTGACTATGTTTTGGTAAAATACCTGAAAAAAAACTAAAATTGTGCCTGTGTCCAAATATATATGGACCTAACTGTACATCATCCAGCCGTTTGCAGCTCCGAGTATGCGGCCGACCTGAGTGGCCAGGGGATCATGGTTGTTTTATTGGTTATGTTTTATAATAGAATGTAGAAAATAGTGTTTTGGGTTTTTTCAAAATTTTGGTATTTTTTCATTTTATATAGCAAAGAATAAAAAACCCTAGTGGTGATCAAATACCAGAAAGTGTAAAATATTAGAAATATCTTGCGAGCCAGAAAATGAACAAAAACTCCTTATTAATACACTCTAATGCTGGATCGCAAACCTCTAGCACATAACTACCAATGTGATAAACCGCAAAAAATAAATCTATAGTGTTGCGCTCCCAATCCTTAAATCAATATTTTGTTATTTGAATATGATCTCTATAATAAAGATCACAATAATTAAGAATGATGTGTGTAAATAAACATAAATACTAAATATTCTTAAACTTTGAATTGATACAAATAAGTAATGTGCATGAAAAATGAACAATGACAATAAATCACTAAAAAATATTTAAATAAATATAAAAAATAAAAAAATAAAATATAAAGATAAAAATAAAGATAAATGTCCCAAAAAGTGACTTTGTGCTGGAAAATCTTCAATCTAAAATAATTGTAAATCGGTGACTGCTTGTGAATCCTCCCTCCAGTGAAGATGTGCGCTCACCTCATGAGAAGCCTGCAATTAGGCTATAAAAGCTTGCGGTTCACCTCCTTTGGAACCTACTAGTTTGGAACTCCTGCTTGAAGATAGGATGAATCTCCTCTCCAGAGGGTGCAACTCCTCTATACTTTCATCTCCATGCGATTCTCCACATATAAAAAAGATCTCGACATGGTGCTTTATCTTTTATATAAGTATGCCTTTTATTTGCTTATGATATGGCACTCACATATAAAGTGTGCGGATAGTGGTAGCACAAATGCAATCCCAAACCGCCGTTGATTGTCGGAGCTGTGTACTCGTGGTCCGGCAAACAAACTGACTCCCTCCGAGTGACGTTGCAGTCCCACCCCTACGCGTTACGCCACTGGTCACGTGTCTTCATCAGGGGGATTTGATCATCATCAAATCCCCCTGATGAAGCCACGTGACCAGTGGCGTAACGCGTAGGGGAGGGACTGCAACGTCACTCGGAGGGAGTCAGTTTGTTTGCCGGACCACGAGTACACAGCTCCGACAATCAACGGCGGTTTGGGATTGCATTTGTGCTACCACTATCCGCACACTTTATATGTGAGTGCCATATCATAAGCAAATAAAAGGCATACTTATATAAAAGATAAAGCACCATGTCGAGATCTTTTTTATATGTGGAGAATCGCATGGAGATGAAAGTATAGAGGAGTTGCACCCTCTGGAGAGGAGATTCATCCTATCTTCAAGCAGGAGTTCCAAACTAGTAGGTTCCAAAGGAGGTGAACCGCAAGCTTTTATAGCCTAATTGCAGGCTTCTCATGAGGTGAGCGCACATCTTCACTGGAGGGAGGATTCACAAGCAGTCACCGATTTACAATTATTTTAGATTGAAGATTTTCCAGCACAAAGTCACTTTTTGGGACATTATCTTTATTTTTATCTTTATATTTTATTTTTTATTTTTTATATTTATTTAAATATTTTTTAGTGATTTATTGTCATTGTTCATTTTTCATGCACATTACTTATTTGTATCAATTCAAAGTTTAAGAATATTAGTATTTATGTTTATTTACACACATCATTCTTAATTATTGTGATCTTTATTATAGAGATCATATTCAAATAACAAAATATTGATTTAAGGATTGGGAGCGCAACACTATAGATTTATTTTTTGTGGTGATCAAATACCACCAAAATAAAGCTGTCCTTGTGTGGAAGAAAAAAAATATACATTTCATATGGGTTCAGTGTTGCATGACTGAGCTATTGCCAGGTAAAGTAGCAGTCTGCTGAATAGCAAAAAATGGGACTGGGCATGAAGGCGGTAAAACTTTCCAGAGGTCAAGCAGTTAGCTTGCATTGTACAAGTTAAAAATAAAAACATGATTAAAAAGCACAGCCTGTTACAGTAATTCATTTTAAACAAATATAATGGCTTGAGAGTGCTATAACCTTTGCAACCATTGCACAGGACACAGGCAGAGTATTCATACAGCATAGGTTATTGGCATGTACCTTCAACTGATTGGACACTGGCAAAGCTTTAGAAAGGGCTAAAAATAGGAGCTTTTGTGCCAGTTTGAACCGCATCTAATCCGCTTGACAAGTGAAAAAAAAAACATTGCTTCCTATAGTTCCTGTTCACATATATCTGGGGCACTGGCGGTGAGGTTTCAGTGCAGTTTGAAAGAGTCATGTACGATTTCTGAGCAGTGCCTTCAGGTTCAGGTGTGGATTACAGGCTATTGACTTTTATGGGAACCATTTGTAAACTGAATCTGCTGTAAATCTCTGCCCCATCCTTGCTTTTAAATTAATTTGCCAGCTTTAAATTTAAAACTGATTTAATGACAGCCTTGCACCAACTACAAGTAAGGTTGTACCAGTTACTTGGAATAATAGTTTCCTGGTTTCTGTTCAAACCTATTCATGGTCCCATACCAAATGGAGGAATCTGCCCAGTACTTGACTTAAAACCTCTAAACATATTTTTGCATACTGAAAAGTATGGTTCTTTGATGAGAATTTTTGGCATTAGATGTACAAAATGCTCATCTACACATCTCCATCTCCCCCTCACTTCAGCACATTCTGTATATTCTGTAAGAGAACAGCATTTCCAATTTGTAGCCCTACCAATTGAGCTCTCCTTGGCACCCGTAGTGTTCACAGAAGTTGACTCTTCTACAAAGCCATGGCATTCGTGTTACAGGCTATATCTGGATGACCTATTGCTGGAGGACTCCTCAGTCATAACCCTGTATGCTAACATTCAGTTCCAGTTCACACTATGCTGTCCATGTTAAAAAATAACGTGATTCTCTGCAGTGCGATTTGTGCCCATTTATTTTTTTTATGGCCCAAATCGCACCACACCCACATAAAAAAGGTGCATGTGCCTTTTTTTGAACTCTACCAAATGGACCTGGTTTACTTGCTCAAGTCCCTCCTCTTTCCTGTTTCTCAGTATCACTGGCTTAACGGCATGGCTGTTGAAACTCAAGTCTTAAATGATAGGTGTAATTCTGACTCTTATCCCCACCTTGCTCAGAGAAACTTGTCTGTTAAATACTTTTGTTCTGTCTCTCCAATCTAAGCATTGATAGTGTGATCTCTGTAACTTAAAGTTGTGATGAGATAGCGATAACGTCAACCTCCGTTGGATACCAAGTGACTCAATCGATAAGACATCTTGTAGATCTTGTGAAGTTTATTCCATAAACTGAGAGAATCTTACAATGAACATTCGATAGGTCAAAAGATAATGTGATCTACTTTGACATGAGGCTAGAAGCTGCAATGCATTTCTGGGAAAGGGGGAGAGCTATCTATACAGCATTAACTTTACTAAACCAAAGGAAAAGGAGGTGCAGAAACAAAATATAAAAAAACACCTAAAGGCATATGACAGTCATGTGAAACATGACGACCTTATCTTGGAGTACAGAACAGGGCACTCCACTATGCTGTTAACTCCTTGTTGATTTGTGTAAAAACTAAAAAAGGAGTTTCTTGGAATGGGCTTATGAGTGTGTCGGGCTGCCCTAACTAATTTTTTTTTTTCATTGTCCAGTCACCTGAAAGTAGCCTGCATATAACCTGTGGGCTATGAATACAAGTCCTGTACTGCATTCCAAGATGAGGAATCTACAAGTCAAAATTATTTTTTTTTTTTACCGTAGTCCATTGAGGGACACATATCCCACCCTTGTTTTTTCACTAAACCGAGGTATGCTGGGTAGAGGAAGGGTTATACAGGGGATGGCTTATTACTTTGTTTGCCAGTGTTCTGACTTCTTGGGAGGTGGCAGTATAACTCAATTGTAATTTCAGTGTCCCTAAATGCACTACATTAAATCTTTTATGGCAAGTACAAAACTGTATTTTCAACAGTTATCTACGATTTCTAATGATGTATGCAGTCTGTTTTGATAGTCTTGTCAAAAGTATCATTGTATAATACATTTTAATTATTTTTTTTTAGTAAAAAGACAAGATGAAGATTATGACGAGCAAGTCGAGGAGTCATTGCAAGATGAGGTAGGTTTTAATTCTATGCTGAGAAACCTATAGACATCTTACCATAGGGCCCCTCTCTAAGTGTCATTGTAAGGAAAGCAAAGACCCCAACCTTTGAGTGAATTGAAATAAGGGGGGAGTGGATGGAGGGAGCATTACCAAAAGCTGGATGGTAATATTGAACCTTTCTTGTAATGATACATTGGATGGCACCCTCCTTCTTTTTTTTTTTTTTTTTTTTTTTTTTATGCTAAACCGCAGGAACAGAAAAATGCTTTTGACTCCAGAACAATGTAAAGGTGTCTGAAACTAATTAGTTTAGTTACAGAAAAAAATTGTCATTTATTTGCACAATTGTATCAATTAATCTCTGTATTGTCTAATGTGTGAAATTTAGTTCCTATAATTTTGCTCAAACCAATGACCATAATGCAGCAGTTTTTATTGAATACTGCAATCAAGAAAATGCTGAATTATGGTCAATAGAAGGAGCTGCTGATCATGGGAATTGCATGGAAAATGGCATTTTGCACACTGGAAACACATTGTTCATGTTGGCTGTGCGAATGCCAACACATTCTCACAGTGCGGTTTATTTGTAAATAGGCCTGTAAGAGTTCCTCTTTATGCAGTTATTAGTACTTCAGGGCTTTTTTGCCAGTGTCTGTAAGGTAATGGTCACTAATATGCTGCATGTGCTCTTGGAGCATAGTTAAAGGTCTGGTTGTGCTGAGAATCAAGAACTTCAGTCAGATCCATTCAAAAAGATGTTAGCCAAAATGGTTGGTACCTGAGCCTCATTGGATAGGAGAGAAGAATCCTTGAGCCTGCTTTGTGTCCTGTGATGTATTGTAAGAAATGGATTTTACAGGTAAGTATGTAGAAAAAATAAATGTATTATCCTAAGGAGAAGGTACTTCACTCTTTGGATGAACAAGCTTTTCATGTTTGTCAACATCTTTGTTTCAGCATCTTGATTCCCTGTTTGTTTTGCTTGGGGGCCCTCACAGGGGTCAGGCTGCTTGATTAATCACTATTTATAGGTGAAATAGTCATATTTTTTCTCTCATGCCCATGGTATCAAGGGCAAGGTTCTTCCTTTCCCAGTTCAGGTCAGTTGCACCAAGAGCATCAGGGCTTCCTGGTCTGTTTAGCCATCAAGCTTCTGTTTTTCAAGTTTAACCGCTTCCCGACCGCCCTATAGCAGAAATACTGCTACAGGGTGGCACGGGTGCGCCAAATCACGTATATATACACATGATTTTGCATTCCCGGGTAGAGGTCGTGCGCACACTATCCACACCGCCATTCGCGGCTGTCAGTCACCGGTCCCAGACGGTGATTACTCGCCGGCGTCCGATTTACGGGGATCTCTGATGGGGAGTAGAGCTATTTTGTTTACTAAAAGTTCTACTCCCTTTCAGCTCGGGCACACTGCTTTGGATGGCTGTGCACAGCCCATCCAAAGCAGTGGGATTACAGTGAAACACACTGAGACCGCCCCCTAGTAAAACACTCCCAGCACACAGGTAACTCTTTGATCGCCCCTCATGTTAACCCCTTCCTGTCCAGTTCCATTAGTACAGTGTCAGTGCTTTCTTTTAGCACTGATCACTGTATTGGTATCACTGGGGATGTCAGTGACACCAAGTCAATTCCCCACCAGTGTCAGAATGTCTGCCGCAGTCCCACTATTGCCACCATTACTAGTAATAATAAAAAATCCCAGTATATATAACACCATTGTAATAGCTATAACTTTCATGTAAACCAATTAATTTACACGTATTGGGATTTTTTTTTTTTTTTTGCAAAGACATGTAGCAGAATACATTTTGGCATAAATTTATGGTGAAATTTGATTTTTAATTTTTTTTACTGGACATGTTTAATAGCAAAAAGTTAAAAATATGTTTGTTTTTCGAAAAATTGTTCTTTTATTCTTTGTGCTATTTAAAAAAAAAACTGCACAGGCGATCAGATACCACCAAAAGAAAGCTCAATTTGTGGGTGGGAAAAGGACATAATTTCATTTGCATGCAGCGTTGCATAACCGAGCAATTGTGAGTTAAAGTAACGCAACACCGTAAGGCAAAGAATGGCCTGGTCAGGAAGAGGGGTAAATCCTCAAAATGGCAAGTGGTTAAGACTTGCTACCTGGTCTTCCCTTCACATGTTTACCTAGATTCACCAGATAGATATTTGTCTCTCTGGACACCAGCTTTGGCCAGGAGATCTTGCAGGTGGCTTTGTAGTTTGGTCTCCCCCCAATCCCGATTTGCTTTTGTGCAGGTATATACTAGTTGCTTTGTTGACCAATCATGTTTAGTGCTTAGGGACATCCCAAGTAGTCATGAAGTTCTCTGTGTCATTTGATGTAGGCTTAAGGCGTAAGAAATTTTGGATTTTTGGTTTAACTGTAAAATCCTTTTCTTGGAGTACATCATAGGACACAGATGCCTCTCATGTCTGTTCCTCATTGGTTGCTACAAAACTGAGGCTTGGCCAGGCATAACCCCTTCTCTGGCAGGGGTCATGCCTGGGCAAGGGAGCCTTTTTTTTTTTTTTTTTTTTTTTTACCAGTGTCTGTTTACCTGAAGGTGGCCACATATCCCAGTCATAAATATGTATTCCTTTGATGTACCCCAAGAAATGGATTTTACAGGTAAACCAAAATTCAAGTTTTTCGACATTGGTGTGTTATATGCATGCAGTACCCTTCCATCCTTTTTGGAAACGTGATGCAAATCGCACTAAAATGTAGCTTTAAGGATTTATCTTAAGATAGACATACAGTGTGTGTGTGTTATTTCAATGAATACATATGAAGTTGGTAATTGTAGCAACATAATCCCATTGATACACTTTTTATAGCAGCGGTTACTGAGGAATTGTGGGCAGACACCCTACTTAATTTTTACTTTTAATGTTTGTAAGCAAAACATGCATCAATGAGGTGGAATGTGAAACTTGTATTAACTATTCTAGAAACATTGAGTTTTCTCTTTATTTTCTCAGGATGACAACGATGTTTATATTTTGACTAAAGTCGCTGACATTTTGCACTCGATATTCAGCAGCTACAAAGAAAAAGTGTTGCCGTGGTTCGAACAGTTGCTGCCATTAATTGTCAATTTGATAGTAAGTTTAACCTTTAATTTGTTTTATCAAGACCTCTTCTTCTCAGCTCATACCCCTGTTTGTACCTGCCAATACATGCCAGTATGATAGTTAATCTCTTGTTTTGTGAGTTAAAGCTGCTCACGGTAGCTGATTCACACATGTGCAGATTGAAGCTCAGGTTTCGCAGCTAATTGATACAGTAGTTGTTCAGAGGTTCACATCGGGTTCAGGACAGGATCAGCTCAGGTTCTTATTTTGTTCACACATGCGGTTAGGAACAGTTACCATAGAGGTCAATAGCCTGTAATCCGCACCTGAACTAGACCGCATTGCTCAGAAATCGGAATGATTCTTTTCAAAACCGCATTGAATCCGCACCGCCAGTGCATCGAACATGTGAACAGGCACCATAGGAAGCAATGTTTTTTCACATGTCATGCGGATTGGATGCGGTGCAACCACATCCAATCCACATATATGTGAATGGGCACTGACAGTTAATCCAGGCAACAGCTGTTTCCTGACAGTCTGCTAAAATGTATATGAACACTGATACAATAGAAATCTAGGGTGACAGCAGAAAAAAGACCAAGTGGTGCATCGAGTCTGCCCAATTTTTACTTTTTTTTTTTTTTTTTTTTTTTTTTTTGTGTCTAGCATGTTTGATTCCGCTTTCTCTTAACTGACTCACTACCTCTGTTGGAAGTCTCTTCCTAGCATCAACCACTCTTGCGGTAATATAATACTCTCAAAGATTAGTTTTGGTAAATTCATAATCCATTTTTTACCTTGGTCTGGTGAGATTTTCTTGACCAAATCTTTAACTGGGTCATAATGCTCCGTTCTCACTTTACATGCACGCATAATATGTTTGTGATCAGCTCTGTAAGTAGTGGTGTATTACCAATACTAGGGCTATTATATACTGAAAGTGTTATTTTAATCAGCCCTTATAAATTCAGTGTAAAAGTCAATTCACAAAGGGACGACGCATATCTCCCCTGTTACTAGAAGTGGTGATAAAACAGAAATGATTTCTGAGAAAATGGGACTTGATAGCATATTCACATCCTGTGAAAAAAAAATTAGCACATCTTGGTGACATTTACTCTCAGGGTTTATTGGTACACCTTTTAAAGGCTTTCCTTCTACAGATTAAAAGTCCAGACTCTGCTTCCAATCTTGGCCTTTTACCCTGTCAAAGGACCAACCAACCCTGAGGTTTTTGTGCTTAAAGTGGTGCAGCTCAACATGCTGACAGCATGTGACAGGAAGAAGCAGTCATGTACCATTCAAATATATAATGATAAACACAGCACAAAAATATAAACAGTAAAGTCCACAATGTTATATATTTTGTACATTCAGTGCTCCAATAAAGGATTACGTCAAAAATAATAATTTCACCACGTAGTCTCAGTGGACTCATTTCTTATGTTTTCAAAACTCACCACTTATATGTACTCCTAGCTTTTTGGGCTTAAGGGGTAGAAATGCTCTCGAGAGATCCAAGATTCAATAGTGTCAGACCCATGGTACTGCAATTCATGAATTGTTCCATAAGCAGGCAATGATTAAAATAAATACACGATTTATTCATAAAACTAGCGATACATATTACATTTTGATAATACACCTTATATTACAGGCCTCATCAGGTCTGTGAACGCCCTGGAGGAGGGTCGAAATGCATTGACATTTTCCGTAAATTTGAGGGACGTCACGTCCGGTGAGTGGAGCGCATGTGAATTTGCGGTGCTCCGGAACCATCTTTATCACTGTATACCTTTGAGACCAAATAAGGAATATGATGGTGGTGGTGGAAACTATGTAGACTTCTAGGTTCAACAACAAACTGAGCCGGTATACCTTACATGTCCAGGGACCCTCTAGCTTAATTGGGGCCTGTCAGATTCTAGTATCTCTACGCTTTTAAAAGCTAGGAAATTGACTTCTGCCAGTGCCTACATTGCACCTGGAGGGCATATTTCTCTTGGTGTAAGACTAGGGAATTTCATCCCAGTAAGTCCTCTATGGGACTAATCTGATCCCATCTCCAGTATGGTCTGGATCAGCGGTTGGCTTTAAGTACCATCCAGAGTCAAATCTTGGCCTTTTAGATTTTTTTTTTTCTTTTTTATCCTGCTTGCTTCCCACTCCCACAGGGTAACAGGGTGTCTCTCATATTATGCTTCCTGTATATTTCTCAGTTTCTTGGTGGGATCTAATTCTGGTTCTGTTGGTTCTTCAGAAACAGACCTTTGACTCAGGGATATTCCTTTGTTTACTTTTACTACTCAAGGTTTCCTCTCATTGCCTTCACTTTGACTTGGCAAGTCTGGGTTAATTATCACTCCATTATGTGGGTGCAGTATGGGTCTCTCTGAGCTACAGTCCCCTTTTGACAGTTTGATTCCTTGTTGATTCCTAAAGGTCCCCGTAGGAGACAGCCTGCTTCCCATTCCAATATTGCCAGATGAATTTAAGAAAACATTATTTAAGCCTGTGACCTCAAGGGTATGGTTCCACATATTCTTTTCAAAGTACTCTCTAACAGATCACTTAGTGCTGCTTGTGTTTTTCGGCATTGTGTATCGGTTTCTCAGATTTGCAAGGCCATTCACCTGGTCTTCATTAAATTTCAGCAGGTTGATCTTCAGGCCTTGGCTAAAGCCAGTTTCTGTCACACTGTTCTTTGTGTGGCTTATTTGTTAATAGTTTGAACTTTTTTTTTTTTTTTTTTTGTAGCCTTTCATTGCTGTGAAGCAGGGTGTCCCTTGCAAGGTCCAGATAATAGGACAAACAGGGAGTCTGTCCATACGATTCGAGAAGTAGCACCAGGCAGTGTAGATAGATTACCCTTGTATGTCTAGGAGCAAGGCAGGATGGGAGAACAATGTCCTCATTGAGGTGGAATGCTAAGACCACCTTTTGGGGAAAAAAGATGACCTTCGGTATAAGGCAACCTTGTCATTGTGAAGTATGAGGAAAGACTCATTACAGGGTTCTGCCAGGGGAGTATATAATACAGGATACACCTTGAAGAAAGGTGTGTGTTTTTTTTTGTTTTGTTTTTTTTCCCCCAAGGGAAAGCAAAGCTAGAGTCCTTTGAAAAAGAATGAACATGGCAGAGACCTGTCCTTTTATGAGTACTTAAGGCTCACTTCTGTTTAAGACCTGATTGTAGAAAGGCCAGAATGCGAGGTACAGAATAATCTCTTGAACTAAAGTGCCTGTATTCACACTAGGCAAAAAGGTTTCCAGGTGTATTAATCTTCCTGAGGGAGGCTTTTCTTGCATTTTTCAAGGTAGGAGTCAGACTCAGAAACCCCTCGATCCTTAAAGACCTGAGTTTCAAAAGCCATGTCGTTCAAGCCAGAGATTGAGAATCAGGATAGAAAACTGGTCCTTGTGATAGATCCTGGTCTGTTGGGAAAATGCAAGGTGTTCTCTGCTAAAAGTCTGAGAGTGTCTGTGTACTAGGTTCTTCTGGGCCAGTTTTGTGCAGTTACAATCAGTTTTCCTCTTTTCTTTATTTTCTTAAGCAGACTACGTAGGATTGGCATTGAATTGAAGTCATAAATTGGCCTGACTAGAGACCATGGTATTTTATAAAGGCATCTGAGGCTAAAGCTGTAGGATCCCTGGTTCTGACGAGTTGCTGTACTCAAAGATGGTTGAACTAGATGGACGTTTGTCTTTTTTTCAGCCAGACTAACTATGTAACTATGTAAGATATGGAATTTGCAGGAATATGCCTAGGTTTTTATTTTCTCTTGTGTGAGACACACAGGAACTTTTTCACATGTTTTTTCGCTTTGCCTAATGGTATGGCTGTTGAAGCCTAGGTTCTGAGGGACAAGGGCATCCGCTTTTGAGATTCCTGTGATGCTCAAGGTTAGGAAATCTTTACACATGCTCTGTCTTCAAAGCTGCTCAAGCCCAGGTCTTGAGGGACAGGGGCATCTCTGAATATGTAATTCCTATGATCCTCAGACCTTTTTGGGCAGTATATTTTCTAGCCTGATCATCAGTTGAGGAAGGCATACTTAACTTTGTGTGAGTCCTCTGGACTTTTTCCCCAGGGGTTGGGATTTAGCTCCTTCGTGCTGCTCTCTGAACCAGCATTTGGCTGTCAACACTATCTAGCGTCAGGTTTCTGCTGTTTTCATGTTTTAAAGAACGTTGGCTTCTAACTCCTTAAGGCCTTTGTACAGGGGTTTCCCCATGTAGTCTGCTTTTCTCGTGTTTCAGAAACTGCAATTTGAATCTATTATCGACATTCTCTCTACTCTCACCCACGCAGTGGCTTTTCTTGTAGATGTCACTTAGGTTAGTGTTTGAGTTAATTACCTTACCCTGCATAGGTTTGCTTAGGAACAAACAGCTTTTGAGGCCCAGGATCTTTTTTGCATAAGGTAGTTCCTGCTTTCTCAACCAGGACCTTGTTCTTCAGTTCCTCTGGCTCCAATTCACGAAAAGGAAATTTCCCTCTTTTCAGGTTGTGGTTTGGGCTGTGCAATTTTTTTCAGAAAGATTCCTTTTTTTTTCGTCTAGTTATGGGGCCTCTAAATTTCACAAACCTTAGACCTTCCTAGTTCATGCACTAGTTGAGCCTGTCCTGTATGGAGACTGGCCTCACTCAAAGATTAATTTATTTTGTTTTTTTCCCCTTCTCTAAAAGTTTTGTCCAACAATATCCTATTGAGAAAAAGAAATGGACCATACCTGTGGTGCAAACCATTTCCTGACTTCACAAGACCCAACCGGTCGCAGTGGAGGATAATTCTGTGTTCATGGACAAGCAGATAAGCGGTTACAGGCCCTCCTTTTAGGCTATGTTTGCCTTGGTGACTGTGCCATGCAACCCATGGTTGTATCTGACAATCTGCCAAGATCATTGCTGTCTGGACCAAACGTATAGCCTGGAATCAAAAATGAATTTAAATATTAACCGCGCTCCAATATCCACAAATCAAGTGAATCAAAAGTGCTATGTGCTTATAAATAAAAAAATT